GAAACCCTTCCCTCTCGAGACTGAGACTGTGAGCATGGCTTGGTGGGTGCTGATAGGTTGGAACCCAGAAGAGTTGCTGGGTTCCTGCCCCTCTCCCTGCCTCCCCTCAGCCCCCTCCAGCCTGTGTACACGTAGAGGTGACTTCAATGTGTCGCTCTCACTGCTTGCCTGGCATCCTGCATCCTGGGAGGAACAGTTAGCATTTCCTGCCGGTAAATTGGGGATGAGAGGGAAAGATTTTGGCGGAAAATGTGTCTTTTCCAATGAGTCATGTCCTTTTTTTTTTTTTGTATTTGTCCCAGGAAAGCCAAGTCGGAATAGGAGAAATGAGATTCTGGGAATGCTGACGGGGAGCGTTGCTTGGTGTGTTTGGAGCGGAAATGCCCAGGGCCAAGAGGAGGCTGGCAGGAGCAGTGTAGATGCTGTGTCAGGATGCCAGAGACAAGCAAGGGAGTGGCTGAGGGCCCCTGGGGTGGGATCTCTCTATGGTAGAGAGTTCTAAGCAGCAGCGTCTCATGATCATGAAGGACTTCTGGGGAGGTCGAGGCTGGTGTGGACCAGGAAAGGACGCACGTGGGACAGTCTATACCCGTGTCACGACAAAGGACAGTCGTCAGGAGTCGTGGCGAGAGTCTGCCGGGAGCAGCAGAAGACCCGGGCTAGCAGTTGCTGAAACATGTGCTGGTCTATTTTGTTTTTCCATCTCCCCTTTCCTCCAGACTCAACCCTCCCCCACCCCCATCCCACCTCCTCACAAATAAGCAAAATCTGTGGTTCTCAACCTCTGCTCTTCCTGCTGGCCAGGAAGGCTCTGGAGATACTGCCTGAAAGCAATTTTCTATTAATAAAAAGGTATTGAGTGCCGTGTGCAGGCAGAGATTACACAGATCAGCGCTGTATAGTCTAGATAAGTTTCTCAATGGATTCAACATGCATGCATCAACCTGGTCTTTGTGACTATTTAAACTTGTTCAGTGAGGCTTTTCTTAGCCAGCTCAATATCTTAATATATTGGGTTGATATTTTGATGTATTGATATGGTGGTAATATTCATTTTTTAAAAAGTCATTTCTGAAATTTCTAGGGAAGAGCTGGGAATTCATGAGTGTCTCCCCAGGGTTTGCCCTGGAGGCCAGACTATCAGGTCCCCACTTGTTGGTCCAATTAGAATAGACCCGACTCCCGCATGACTCCCACTACTCAGCTGCAAGGCTTTCGGGACGACATGCTCCAGTGTGAGGTTATGGATGGGGAGACCGAATCCTGTCTCACTGGGCAGTGGGACTGTGTGGGGATTAAAAGCAGCCTCTTTTCTCAGGGAACTTCTGTCATCTCTTGCAAAAGAAACTTCCCCTACTTGACTGTTGGAGTATGATAGCCATCTACCCACCTATCTGCCCATAGTTGACCCATCTGCACACCTACCATCCACCCATCCTCAGACCCACCCAGCCAAACATATACCTCCATCGTGTCTATCCACACCTCCATCCATCCATTCATTCACCCACCCATTGCTGACCCATTCGTACATCCATCTTCCATCTATCCAACCATCCACCCATTCATCCACCCACCTGCCCCCCCACAAACCCCTCACCATGTCTATCCACACACCCATCCCTTTATTCACTCATCTACTGTTAATCCATTCACACATCCACCATCCATCTAGCCACCCATGTACCCCTCTACCATCTGTATATTCACACATCCAACTGTCCATCCACCACCTGAAATCTATCCATCCATCCACCTATCGACCTGGTATCCATCCATCCATCCATCCATCCATCCATCCATCCATCCATCCGTCTGTCTGTCTGTCCGTTCGTCCATTCATCCATCCGCCCGCCCGCCCATCCATCCATTCATCCATCCATCCATCCCCATCCATCCATCCATATGCCCATCCATCCATCCATCCATCCATCCATCCAACCATCCATCCATCCATCCATACGCCCATCCATCCATCCATCCATCCATCCATTCATATGCCCATCCATCCATCCATCCATCCATCCATCCATCCATCCAACCATCCTTCCTTCCTTCCTTCCTTCCTTCCTTCCTTCCTTCCTTCCTTCCTTCCTTCTCAGCAGAGCTTAGTTCTGAGCTCTGGTAGTCCTTAACTTAAAAAGATCTCATAGAATTTACAGAACTGTACCTTGGGGGATTGCTTTGACCTTCCCATCTTCATCCTCAACACGCTCATTCTGTGCAGACTAATAAAGTCACCTTTTTTTTTCCCCCTTTATTTTATTTTATTTTTTTTTACAGTTTTAAATTTACAATTTTTTGTGCTTTGGTTTCAATTATACAATGATCAGATACCCATCCCTCCACCAGTGCCCATTTTCCGCCACCATGGATAATATCCCTCCCACCCCCATCCCCCCATCCCCCCTGTCTCTGTGGCAGGGCAATCCCCTGTGTTCTCTCTCTCCTTTTGGGTGTTGTGGTCTGCAAAAGAGGCATTGAGTGGCAAACATGTTCAGTCCATAGTCTACTTTCGACATGCATCTCCCCTCCTGGGCGGATCCTCCAAACATCCTTTATTTGGTGCTCCCTTCTCTATCTGAACTGCCCTTTCCTCTAGGATACCCGGCTGGCCTCTAAGTTATGGAGTAATCCTTCTGGAAGTCACCTTTGATCTTCACCTAGCACCTTCCCTGCCTCCTCTTCCCTAACCACTGAGGCAGAGCTTCCCAAGGGATCCCCTCCTTTCCTTGTGGGTCTAGATGATGCACAGGCTCGGTGGCAGAAAGGAAAGGCTCTGAGTCCAGGTATCTGGGTTGAGTTCTGCCTCTGCCAAATCCCGGCAGCAGGAGATTGAGCATGCTCCCCGCTGTGTCTGGAGATGACTTTCACAGAACGCTCATGGGAACAGATCTGGGGTCGACATCTGGGGAGTTCTGGAGCACTCTGGCACGTGTGAGCCATGGTTCGCCCACACCGGCCTGGGACTGACCCTCTTGGCTGGGTTGGGGAACTAGCAGCTACTCACTGGGTGAGCTTTGAGCTCAAAGGGTGACTGCCCCCTGGGGAGCCCAGCAGAGGGAAAGCTCCTGGATATGCACCTGGTGCTGGTGCCTAGCCTGCCCTTGCCTATACCACCGGGACTCCACGAGTTCTCACATGAGGCACCTTCAATGACTAGTTCTCTTTTTCTGTCAGGATTCTTTTCTGATGGAGACACATGTTCTTGTGACTCTCCTCAGCTTCACCTGCCTCCATCCAATAAGATGGGATACAAAACCCTGTCTCAGACTCCGAGCGATGAGTCTTTCTCCCCTTGCAGGTGATTTTGTGTTGGTTTTCCTCAGAGGCTCTGAAAAGTGATTTTTCATGGACTGAGGTATTCACGATGTGTGAAATGTGTTGATACTTAACACATTTAAAGACACTGGGGCTGAGAATGCACCTACTTTGCACTTGCATTCCACTTAATTGGACGTAATTCAACCCCATCCTTTTATTCTGTGTGTCAGGTGTGAGGGAGCTCTGGAATCTGAGGGAGGCGTGGAAGGTTTGCGCACTCCTTGAGCAGAGCAGCTTCTCTGCTGTCTTGGTCCTGCACCACGGTGTTGGGTCTCGGTTGAGCTCGAGGAACTTGCTAGTCTTGTGTCGGAAAAGAGACGCCGTGGAAAGACGCACGGGCAAGAAAGCAAGGGCACGTTTTTCCACTCGCTAGTCTGCGTTTGTGTGGGGTGCAATTTGGTTTCATTCAAGATGAGGTAAGAGCTGGGGAGAAGCGGGCATTTCTCATAACTGCGTCGAATGCTCGCAGGAACTAATTATCATCTTGCTATTAATTTTAGCCCAACGTTCTCGGCCCAGCTGTTCCTCATGAATGGGACTCATCCGTAGGGGGTTTCTTCTGGTTTTGAGCTCTGTTTTTTTAGGGTCCCACTTGAGAGTTATGTAACAAGACAATTCCGACACAACGCTCACGGCTGGGTAAGGTTTGCCACCAATTAGCGACAGGGACTTAGGAGAGCAGCCGTGCTGCCTGGCCTCATTTTCTTCCCCTGACACTTGGGGACTTGGCACTCCTTTTCTGTTCTTAGTGTGTTTTCCTGGTAGAGGAGAAATTGCTCTCTCAGTGGGCAGGAATAATCACAGACAGCAGAACAGAGGCAGCAGCGTGAATGGAATGTGTTCCTAGTGTACACGCCAAATCTGTTGTTACACAGCTCCAAACCTTGCACCCCGAGAATCTTGTCCCAATTTCACACCTAACCGTACAACACCGTATAATTCTGGTCAACCCAGTGAAAGAAAAATGCCCAGAAGAGGAATTAACGGGGACAGAAACTCCATGAGCGTGGGAGAAACTCTGAATTCTGAACCTCGATACAGAAGACTTTTTTTTCCCCTCTGAGTGAATTAGAGGTTTGCTCAAAGAATTATCTTTAATTCTTTGAAAGAATTTAAATTTGTTAACTCTAAAAGATTAACTTAAAGATTAAGAATCTGACATTGGGCACAGTGATTGGCAGGAGAATTCAGAAGAGTGATGGTCATCAATTGGCACAAACCCATGTCGGTTTTATCCGCATTTTCTTTCTTTTTCTTTTCTTCTTCTTTTTCTTTCTTTCTTTCTTTGTCCTTCTTTTGCTTTTTGGGTCACACCCGATGATGCTCAGGGGTTCCTTCTGGCTCTGCACTCAGGAATTGCTGCTGGCGGTGCTCAGGGGACCCTATGGGATGCTGGGAATTGAACCCAGGCCGGTCGCATGCAAGGCAAATGACCTCCCTGCTGTGCTATCGCTCCAGTCCCTTTCTTCGCATTTTCTTCTTGTTCATCATTTCCTATCAGAGACCCTTTGGCGATGGTCAAGGGTTCAGTAGATACCGTCTTGGGTTGACACGTTCCTGGTTTCGTGTGCATTGTCCTAGAACCACAGATCTAGTGCAAACGAGTTTTGAAGCAGGAAGGATCAGTCATCCCCAATATGCTTGATAGTAATTTATTTCCTCTTTTATCCCTTCAGCGACAAGGTGCTGGGGCCACCAATGGAAAAGACAAGACGTCTGGTGAAAACGGTAAGACGACATCAGGAATAGTCCAGCTATCTGCGTTTTCCCATCTGAAGCCTTGGGCTAGCAGACTGGTGGATGGAAGCTTCCGGTCCAATGTACACGCTCGGTAGATGTCTGTGCTTTAGTCCAGGGTGGATTTTAGGGACGCAGAGCAAGCACCGTGGTCTGGTTTTTACAAAGAAAATGGAGCTAGCTAAATGCAGTTATGGGAACAGTTTCCTTCCCAAAGGAGGACTCCCATTTCGGGCAACATGATAATTACAATGCAAATATAGTTCTCTGCTTTCTTCATTAGGGTTGGTGAGAATCATCCGAGTTGTTGTGAGGATAAAGTGAGATCAAATGAGATAAGTGCTTGGAAAACTGTGAAGTGCTCAACAACTAAAAGCAGGTTTTAAAAGCGGCTTCCACCCTTTCTAGTACACAGAGCACATTGCTGGCCCCAGGGTGGCACCGTGGCAGAGAGCGTGTCTGCAAGGAAGCCAGCTCCGAGTGAGTCCGGGCCCTCTGCACTGGCAGCACGTTCTGTGTTCTAAGAACACTCAGCAGAGTTTATGGGGGAAGCTGAGACTCAGAGTCGGGGCGGGGACATGCCCACATGTGGGGCGAACTTGGACCCTCTAACCCAGCTCTCCCGTTAGCATTTGGGGCGGAAGATTTAGTAATGCCAACTGCCCAAACATACGAGGGGTAGCATTGATGGTCCCGAGGAGGTTAGACTCCTGGTGTTCTGACCTTAGGTTAGGTATAAAATAAACTCATCTTGGGTGAAAAATTGCTGCCTCCTCCTGCAGGGATATATATTCCTGCTCTGGTGGTTGTCAGCCTCAAATGTCAGATGGAAAAGCTCCTCTGGGCCTTGGGAACTCAGAGCTGTCTCCTGAATTTCAGCTGATGGCCGAGGAAGACTTAGGTACTAGAAGGTTCCTCTGACTGCTGATGGGGCAGGGGCAGTGTGGAGAGAAAGGAAAGGTCAGCATCTCTGTGGCAGGGGGCTGGTACCCAGAACGCCCAGGTGTGCACTGGGCGGGTGGGGGAGGGGGGGAGAGGAAGGACTTCTACCTCCATCTCCTGGGGACAGGAAGGACCTGTCCTCGCTGAGCGCTGCTGAGGGTGGGCAACTCGCAAGGAGATCTGGGAGCAGAAAAAGGGCACAGGAGATTTACTCACCAGAGGAGGCGACTTAGGGGCACAGGGCACCCCAATTCTCCTGGTTATAGGCTTATTTCCATTCATTTATTGTTGGAATCTTCCTTCCTTCCTTCCTTCCTTCCTTCCTTCCTTCCTTCCTTCCTTCCTTCCCTCCCTCCCTCCCTCTCTCTCTTTCTCTTTCTCTTTCTTTCTTTCTTTCTTTCTTTCTTTCTCCATCTCCTTCTTCCTCTCTCTCATTCTTTTATATTCTTTCTCCTTCCTTCCTTCCTTCCTTCCTTCCTTCCTTCCTTCCTTCCTTCCTTCCTTCCCTCCCTCCCTCTTTTTCTTTCTCTCCATCTCCTTCTTCCTCCCTCTCTTTCTTTCCCTCCCTCCCTCCCTCCCTCCCTTCCTTCCTTCCTTCCTTCCTTCCTTCCTTCCTTCCTTCCTTCCTTCCTTCCTTCCTTCCCTTTTCTTTCTCTTTCTCCATATCTTTCTCCTCCCTCCCTCCCTCCCTCCCTCCCTCCCTCCCTCCCTCCCTCCCTTTCTTCCTTTCTTTCTCTCTTTCTCTTTCTTTCTCCCCTCCCCTCCCCTCCCCTCCCCTCCCCTCCCCTCCCCTCCCCTCCCCTCCCCTCCCCTCCCCTCCCCTCCCCTCCCCTCCCCTCCTCTCCTCTCCTCTCCTCTCCTCTCCTCTCCTCTCCTCTCCTCTCCTCTCCTCTCCTCTCCTCTCCTCTCCTTTCCCCCTCCCCTTCTCCCAGAAATTTCTTATTTCATTATCAGGCAACAGTGGTGTTTTATAGATTCAAACTAGCACTGTAGCACTGTAGCACTGTTCTCCCGTTGTTCATCAATTTGTTCGAGCGAGGACCAGTAATGTCTCCATTATGAGACTTGTTACTGTTTTTGGCATATCAAACACGCCACGGGGAGCTTGCCAGGCTCTGCTGTGCGGGTGGGATACTCTCGGTAGCTTACCGGGCTCTCCGAGAGGGGCTGAAGAATCAAACCCGGGTTGACCATGTGCCAGGCAAACGCCCTACCCACTGTGCTACCACTCCAGCCCAGATTCAAAGTAAGGTGAGAAAAATCAAAGTCAATGTCTTCTGTGAAACTAAATACATGTTGACTGAAGGAAGGGCAGTACATGGGTAAGGCACCTGCCTTGCACGTGGCAGACCCAAATTCAGTCCCTGGGCAACCCACACCCCTGAGCCCTGCCAAGATTGACCCCCTGAACACAGAGCAATGAGTAGTCCCTGAGCACTGCTGCACTGCTGGGTATGTGAAAAACAAACAAAATCCCACAAAACAAAAGGCACCCCCCCAAACCAAAACTAAATGTATGAAGTATCTATTCAACTGTTTCAAAATCATCCTTTCTTATGAGACCATGCCTCCTCAGTTTGCTGGTATTGAATTATCTGTGCATTATGCAATGATGTCAGTAAGAGACAGGAGGTAGGAGTCTGGGTATTAGTTTTTTGGGGGAATCGGGTGGGGAGGTTGCCACAGCTAGTGGTGGGCAGAGGCTACTTCTGGAAGATGCTGGGGGTTAAGTCAAGGCCTCCCACACCCAGGGCAGGTGCTTGACCCTGTAGCTGTCTCTCTGGCACAGTAGTTTTAAAAAATTTTTAATTGCTTTTATTTTTCATCTTTTTAAAATACAGATTTTTTCTTTAAAAAATTTTATTTAGGCACCATGATTTTCAAAACTTTTAATAACAGAATTCCATACATTCAATGTCCCAAAGGTGAGAAAAGATCATCACCCAGCATCAACTGCCACCGAAAACTCAAAGTTCATTTCCATGGAACATTCTGACCCCAGAATCATGGGGGTTTATGGCCTAAGGCTTCTCAGACTTCCTGCTCTCAGAACTCCTGTCCGTTGTTCAGAACTCTCCATGATCCCACTGGACACTGAGAACTACGCTGCTTCTCATCTATTCCACATAAACACCGAGACATTGTTGAATATTTCCCTTACAATTTCATTAAAAATAAAGCCACAATCCCACGACACGCTAACACGGATACCAGTTTATAGTGAAAAGCAATTTTCCAAAACACACACAAAAAAAATATTTAGAGAGCAGCATGGCCGTGTTCAGCGTTTCCGTGCATTTTTCTAATGTCTGGTTTCACAGAGACAGCTGTTTCTGTGTTCAATCTTTGAGAACCACACGTCATGAGTCTCTGGAAAATTCCACCAGACTCTCATGAGAGAATGAGCAAAGTCAGTGGTACTGTAGCCCCATAAAGTTAGCTTGGATCTTGGGGCCCCTCAGGAGGGAGAGAGAGACCCCCGAGGATGGAGAAATTGGAGAGATTCTGTGTGACCAAAAGGAGTGCTGTGCTGGGTGCCGGAGGCTGAGACCTGGCCAGCAGGTGCTGGTGGCCGCAGCTGGGCTCCATCCCAGGTGTTTGATGCTGCCACCTGAGTCCCACCAGTCCTTTCCAACTGGGCGGCCTGGTCAGTGTTTTGCACTAAAGGGAATTATGGAATGTTCCAGAAGACACAGCATCCCGCCACTCACAGCCAGGGAGTGACCGCTTTCAGGCAAAAGTCCTTCCATTCTTGTGGAAACTAAACATGTCTTTTCTGGTGAAATAATATGAAAGAAATGGGAAAATCCAAAATTGTATGGATAAAGCTTTTCGTCCTGTCATTCTAGATGTAGAGGATAGTCGTTTTTGAGATGAAAATAGGAATATTTAGAATTAGACATGTCCCAATTGCCATAGAATTATGGCACTTTCTATGTTCAAAACAAATTATGTGTGATCATCTTAATTTCAGATAAAACTGCGTTGTGCGCATAAGTTACTCTAGTAGTAAGTTTTAACTTTGGTATTCTACTAATGAACAAAACCAAAAATCAACAACAATTCAGCCAAGCTTGGTGTAAAGTCTTCTGAAAAATGACCTAAAAGACATCCTCCCTCCCCCAGAAATCTAAGTTGCCTGAATTACTTATTTTAAAATTCATAACATGAGAAGAGCAGCTCAGAATTTATGTTTTAACCTATTATGACATTCCACAGAAATCAAATGCTTTTATTTCATTACCACAGGCATCTGGAGAGATCTTCTCCCTTAATGTACATTTCCCTATGAATACAAATGAAATAGCCCATGTGCGTTCAAAGAGCAGGGCTCGTGAGAATAGAGACATCAAATACAGAACAATCCCAATTGGGACTGAGGTCTGAACGCCAGTCACTTGGTTGTGAAAGGAACACCCCAAATTCATTAGCTGTCTGTCAGTCAGTGCTGTTGCCTCCGATAATATCAATCATGGAGGTCTCCAGTTGACACTCTTCAAGCAGCGAAGACTGTGGGAGGGAATTAGGAGAGTCTTCAAATTGGATTTCAGCACAGATGACACGAGTCAGATACAGTAAAACTCCAGAGGGACCCACATTCCATTGTCTCTGCTGTGATTTTATTATTTGCATTTTTCTCCAGGGCTGTGGACTATGGATTCTTTTCAAGTCAAAGTTGATTGTGTGTGTGTGTGTGTGTGTGTGTGTGTGTGTGTTGTGTGTGTATTATTGCCCCAGTGGTAATTACCTATGTGAAATAGGATCAGCATCCCACTCCATTCCCTCCCTAGAATGCCCCCAAGTTCCCTTCATTCTGCAGGTCACAAAGCTCTGATTGCACAACTTGGCAAATGCAGAGGGTGCTCTTCTCTGCAGTGTGGAGACAGGTTTTTCCAGAAATAGGAGGATGATAATGACTTTTTAATTAAAAATCCCAAATCCATTTGGATCTTCTTATTTAGAGATCTTCGTTCCCCTGTGAACACAGCACCCTCATTGTTAGAGCAGTTCTGGGCAAGGGCTTTAGTGGGTTCTTGGTAGAAACTTTT